CACTTTGTGTAAAATCTGGTTTTTATTTTTTGTTTTTGCTACTTGTTTCACTTGTGTTTCTATCTGTTTTTTAAGAGCAAGACCTAAAAATAATTGGTTTTTGATGTGAGGGGATACTTTTCCCTCCCTACTATCTCTTTCAGCTCTTTTCTCGACGAGGGAGAGCCCGTCGCCACAGAAGATTTCTTTTTCTCTCTATGCAATCATTTTTTATACTTCACGACTTTACGCTCCAATTCTTTAATTTTTTCTGTTTGTTTTTTTACGACGCGGTAGACTTCTGACTTTTTTGCGTCCCCTTTTCTTCTGCGCTGACTCCTCTTCAACACTATTTGTTGGGGTATCTTGAAGCATTTCTTCATTTTATCTCTTCTTCTTTTGCTCTTGTCGCTTCTTCCGCCAGTACTTCCTCATTTGCTGCTGCTCCCTAGGGTTCATGTCCCCTATTCGTTTGACTTTCTTTTCCTCCCTCAATCCCGCCATCCTCTCGCGGTCATATTTTCTTTTAGCTTCTTTCTGCTCTTCGGTTTTTTTCTCTTTCTGCTCCCTCTGCCTCTCAGAGCTTTCCTTTGAAGTTCTGGCCATTTTCCATTCAAGTCCCCCTGAAAAAATAACTTTTGAAGTGACCGCCTAAAAAGCGTATAAGTATTAGCTTATTAGTATAAAAAGCCTAAAATTACTACATAACATTAAGTTTACTAGAGTTGTTAAAAAAAATTACAGTTTTTGTCCTGAAAAGTTTTATTTTCCTTATTATAAGGAGAAATAAGCAATTCTGTTCGTTAAAATAATAATAATAATTTTGCGTCCAAAATTTTTAAAAAATACTATCAAAGTATATTTTTATGTTGAACAATGTAGGCTAATCTATTGTATAGAGGTTCATCAAGTATTGACTAATGCATTTATTCAAGCAAAGGAAATATGAAATTTAATGGGATCAAATACGATAATAGTTCCCAGTCCAGTCGTTCCCGCACCAGGTCCAGTCGTCCCTTATAGCCGGTCGTTCAATCAGGAACGACTGGTGCGGGAACGACTGGCGGTTTTCGTACATAACCTTGTCTTGCCGCCAAACACTTCAAGTAGGGAGCATAAGAATTTGAGGTTATGTCTTGGACTGGCATTTGCTGTTACGCAACAGAGTTCTTCTTTATTCCTAGCATCGAAGTTTATAATAATGTGAAGGAACGACTGGATGCTTAATTAAGGTACTGTATGATTCTTACCTGTTTATTAATTAATTTGCTGGAAACCGTTGCTCACTTGTACTTCAAATCACTCTCAAAATCAACTTACAACTCAGTACGACTGTCGCCAACCTCAGACGCAGGAAATTCTCCCGCGCTTTTTTTTTATAACCGTTCCCATTTTAGTCGTTTTTGGTATACCGTCCTCCAAGGACTGTCTCAATTACAACAAAAATATGATATTTTGTTGTTTGATCTCTTTGAACTGTCAATTATCTAGAACAGCAGATCGTATTGTCTTCTACAACTGTTTAATTTGTTCAACTGGAGCAGTGTTGAATTGTTTGTTTATACTTTAACATAGTGAGGAGCAGTAAATGACAAGGAACGACTGGTGTTTTACTGTTGAATAAGGCATTTTACATAAAAATATATATGTTTAATTCAAAGGCATGTGGGGTTAGAAATAAAACAATAGCCTACACTATAGTTAAAAATTATTTTTATTTTTTTTATTTTGGCAAGAAGGACTTAAATTTTATCATTCAGTGAGATTTACCCTTACGCAATTCAAGGTTCTCAAGGAACATTTATTCATCCTATTTCCCCTTATCCCTGTTCTATTTAATGATCACAGTAGGAGGAATACATGGCTTGTTAGGCTGTAAATGTCAAGAGAGTTATATTAAACTATAAATTTTCTAACATTTGTCTGCTGTGAAAGTGAATGTTGTCGATTTGAGATCATTGACTGATGGCCAAGCAATGCCTCAATTGACCTTTTCAAATCATTGCCAACTAACAACAACAGTGGCTAAAATTGTCAACCAAGTATTACTGAACAATTCATTACAGTCAAAGTCAATCATACAATCACATAACTTATTAGCAGTAAACATATTTTAATGTACAATTGCCCAAGATAAAAAAATAATAAATCAGACTATTTTAGGTAAAGTAGGCAAACTTATTTGTGTAGTGTTAATGCATGAACTAAATTACAAAACAAACACTTCGGTACAGGTTTAGTTTATTCAACAACCAAACAGAATCATTTTGCTTGGTCGATGGCTTTTAGCCTAATTTTGTTCAGATAAATTCAGAGTCCAGATTTGAAGTGCAGCCATCAATTATCTGTCTGTTTTATGACTCTCAGATCAAATTTGCTCCTACATTCAGAGTCCTGTTTTACCTAGTCATTCCAATCCATGTATTTTCTTGTTTTGTGCAAACCTCATTTTCCTATCTAGATTTTTCACAAATAATTTGTAAAAAAAATGTCTGAATTGTTCTCTTAGTCTCAATAAAAATGAAGTGTTTAATTAATTAACTCTAACTGTTAGTATAATTAGCCCACACTAAATCCTTGCTTAGTTTTAGTATAACTTACACTTTACTGCATATTTATCAATCTTCACAATGTATTTTCAACATCCGATATTTATTTAGAGATTTTATTTACATTGGAGACTTATTTAGTTAAAAATTAATTATAAACATTTATTGACAGTGGCTTAGGTTTGAAAAATCCAAAAATATCATTTGTTTTTGCTAAAATTAGTTGTTATTAAATTACAACATCTACATATGTTGTCCCAATGAAACTTGTAATATGGTTTTCCTAAACTTGTTTTTTTGTGCTATCTGTCATAGGTCATAAGTAGAAGTAAGTTTGTTTATGGCTATGCACAAAGGTCAGTCTCAATATGTTATCTGCTCGGTGACGCCCACCGACCATGTGTTATCTTCTCTAGATTACCTCTTTCCCTTCACTGTCGCTCCAGATCAAATCATTACAAAGTTAGTCGAAGAATTTGTACAGCATCAGTCTAAGGATTGAATACATTAATCTAACAGTTTTTTCATCTGTAGTTCCAAAACACGTTATTTAAAATAAATGATATCACCAATCTGGCTGTTTTCTCTCCATTAACTTGTAAACAACCTTAATCATGGATAAGAGGTGGGAGTAACTATGATATTTTATGTGGAAAATCATAAAAGATCCAATTAAGTTTTGAATTCCATTAAGTTTTGAAGGCCATTTTTGAGAAAATTAGATTTTTCCATTATTTCATGGGTTCTTATGTATGGAAAAATCAGAATAAAAATATGAAAATTAACAAAAATTAAAAAATCTTGGAGGTACTATAAATTAGTACCCTTGTACCAAATTAAATCAAAATTGGGACACAGGTGTGGCTTGCAGCTCTCTGAAATTACACATCACACACACAGACATCACTTCGAAAACATCTTTTTTGGGTTCAGGGAGACCCAAAACGGATGTATCAATAACTCAAAACTCAAACTTGAACATTTTTATATAAACAATATTTCCACCGTATACAGTATATAGGGGGAAAAATAAAAAAAAAACTAAACCTAGTTAAAATTTTGAACAATATAATTGTGCTGTACGTAATCTCTTTATAGTTGCGGAATACAGCGAGAGAGTTATTAAAACTATGATTGACAGTAATTCTGGTTGTGCAAATTAGTTGGCACACGTTATTTAACACTAGTAATGTTGTACCGTACTACTGCATATCGAGATAATGGAGAAGACAAGCTTGCGTTACCGTTGCTTAGAAGTGCCTCAAACTAAAAAAGTCATTAATGTAAAGGCAACAACTCTAGACTAACAATCTTTGTTAATTATTTACTGCTTGAATTTTAAAAATAGAGGATGCATATCAGTGTTTTTGAACAATAGTAAATCAAGTTAATTACAGTAGAACCTCTATTAAGTGGATTTAAAAGGGTTTTAAAGAAATTAAACCCTGTACAAGCGTACATATTTATATTTAAATTAATTACACACAATAGTAATATAGAACTGTTATTTTTATGTTGTACTTGTTTAATGTTCGTACAGTAAAATAAAATCACAATTAAAAATAATCTAATAAGTAGTTACTGTAGGGGGATGACGGATACTGTAGGCAATAATAGGATTTTTATTTCTAAGTAATTGGTACATCTTATCTGACCCACGGTGTAAGGACAAGCAGGCAATAAAGAGCTAACAGGATGTGCCCCTCTAATGTGCCTTAACAACTCTAATTGTATAAATCACAACTGAACTCTGCTCTGATTCTTACCTACTTAGGATTCTGATTCCGGTTGTTCACATTCTGTGGCACCATTTTTATTTTCACTGCAATGAAGAATAATATTTATAATAGTCTGGTAACTATCTGTCGATAGATCTAAATGAATTGATATTAATGTTTAAAGTGTTTTTGAATTATTCAAAGTAAATCAGTTTTTAGTAATTTATTGTGTAGTTATAAGAGTTGTGATTTGTATATTGTCAGTTATTAAAAATGAAACCAAAATATTTTGTTATATTACAGGTAGGGCAATACACACTTTCCGTTCAATAACGTCCATTTTAGATGATTGGTGGATAGTGATTCCTATAGAAACTGAAAAAAATATCTGTTCAGGCAAATAAATATTTTAAAAATATGTTCATCTAGTTGTTTGAAAACTTAACATCTTTGGTTGGTAAATATTTAAATGGTTTGGAAAATTCTATCAAATAGAAGAAAGATGATCCACAATTGTTTTGTAATTTGTATGTTTGGTTAAATTAAGATGATTTAAGCGTCGTTATCTATTCTGAGGCCAGAAATTTTGAGCAGTTTGCCTCTGGCCCCCTTATTCTAAAAAAAAGTTAAACAACTCCAGCACAACTGTGACTAAAAATAACCACAACTTGTTTACGCAATTTGCGATTATGAGCATACCATATGTGTCCATAATAAAAAATAACCGTCCAATAAATTTGACTTGTTTTTTCAGGTAAAAGCAAAGAAGCGGAAATAAAGAGGATCAATAAAGAATTAGCCAATATTCGGAGCAAATTTAAGGGGGATAAAACTCTTGATGGTTACCAGAAGAAGAAATATGTCTGCAAACTGTTGTTCATCTTCCTCCTTGGCCATGATATTGACTTTGGCCACATGGAAGCTGTCAACTTGTTGTCCTCCAACAAGTACTCTGAGAAACAGATTGTAAGTTAACTTTTATATAAAATAAATACAATCTAGGTATAGCCTATTCTCTCTTAAAAACCAACCCTTACAGCACCGGGTCTAGGTCGTGGCCTGGTAATCAATATCCCAAATTTAGAATTCACATTTGCTAAATCTAGTTACTTTTCACGAATCAGAATAAGTCCATATATATATATTTATTTCTCTGTTCACTATATTATAATTAGATATATTTAATAACATAAAAGCTGGCTGTGATATGCAGCTAAGGTAATATTGTGCACTTTGACAAGGTAGTTAGTTCTATGCAGTAGAGTTGAACAACGACAGGAAATGTGCGTGATTTGGTAGTGGTGAGAGAAAGGTATATATGGCCCAGGTATCTTCATTTACACTCATACTACTCCACATCATCACAAAACTATATTAAATAGCCTACTGCAGAAATAAATCTAGGCCTAATGTTAAAATTATGTAAGCGAAACACTCCGCTGCAAACGCTTAGTTAACGATTCTCTAATATATTTTAGGCCTATCCAAGTAACAATGAAGGCATGGAAAGTGATTGGTTTTGTGACGTAATTGTTTCAATTAACTCTACTGGAGAGACACAATGTTATAATTAACACACACAAAGTTACATTTAATGACGATGATTATTAATACTTCATTTATAATATTAATTATATATAATCATGTTTGCAAATTTATTTGTAAAAATCAGGTTCAAAACAAGATCTAACCTAAACGTTTTAATATTAAGGTATGGATGGAAACGGAAGGCTATAGATTTCTAGAAAAGGTCGGTTAAACAAGCCAATTTTAAAGTTTAGGGCGGAAAAATGTATCTTTATTTTTGCCAGAGTGGTGGTTGTTAATTCGAGCAACAACCACCTCTTTAACTCGAGGGTGGGTAAAGGCAGGTTCCATTGTATACGTTTATATTTGTATAAAAAACTATAATTACACCGATATGATTTCCTTTTTCTGGTACTAATATAGTAGTAGGTACCCTACATTATTTCTTGTTCCATGAGAGTGAGTGCAATGCTTTGTTTGCAGGGATACCTTTTCATTTCTGTTTTGGTCAACACCAACAGTGATCTCATCAAGTTGATAATCCAGAGCATCAAAAACGATCTCACATCAAGGCAAGCCATGTTTTATTTATTCGTTGTATATTTTTAAAGCTAAAAGTATGTGTATTTCTGTGTGAATTATGAAGATAAATGTATGTTCCTTGAGAGTGAGCTAGTCTAGTGGTAGAGCGCATGACTTAGGTCCACAAGGTCCCGGGTTCAAATCCTGCCTAACACTGAAATTTAAAATTTAATCTTGAAGTAATAATACTGCTACCTCTAGGCCTACTCTGTACAATTGTAAAAAATAATCTCGGGCTGGAGCCTTGTAAATAAAAAACTTCTTTTGGTGGCTTCTTCAACTGTTGTGTACCAATTCTAATTTAACCCTTTGAGTTTCGTAGGGGGGGGGGAATGCAATTTGTTTGAGATTTGCTAGGCATACATGCTTGGAATGCCGGCCTAGAATATAAAAATATCATTGAATATTTTAATAAGTTATGATACTGTACTTTTAAAAACTCTTACTTTAATAATTCATTTAACCTGTAGAAAACTGCTCAACTAATTCTAACTTGTTGTATTATTTTTAGAAATCCAATCCATGTTAACTTGGCGATGCAGTGCATAGCAAACATCGGGAGCAAAGAGATGGCAGAAGCTTTTGGATACGAAATTCCAAAACTTTTGGTTTCAGGGTGAGTTTGTAAACTAAACATTTCAATAAAAAACATACATTTAAGTAGTTTATATTTTGTGTCTTACAGCTGTAATTAATGCTGTTAATCCATTTGTTTTGCTTTGTTGTTTGAAAATATTGCTGACTTTTATAGATGAGTTGATGTGTTTGATGTTTGTTGTATATGGTATGAAGCAATGCACTCACTCGTGTTGGTACAGAGACACTATGGACGTGGTGAAGCAGTCTGCGGCTCTTTGTCTGCTGAGGCTGTTCCGCACATCACAAGAGATTATCCCCGGCGGAGAGTGGACCTCTCGTATCGTACATCTGCTGAACGACCAACACCTGGGCGTGGTCACTGCAGCTGCGTCTCTCATTGATGCCCTGGTCAAGCGCAACCCAGATGAGTACAAAGGCTGCATCAGTCTGGCCGTCTCTCGTCTGTCCAGGGTAACGTTATCAATAAAAACAACTTTTCGTCATACTGAAAGCAAACCTTTCCGTTTTTAATGCATGCGTTGCAGATCTAAAGTAGTATTTTTAAAAATAATAAAGGTTTAATTTACCTGTTGTGTCGATTGATCCTTAAATTATAAAATAACTACGGCCGTTTTGTGCTGCTAAGCGAGCACCAAACGGCCGTAGTTATTTTAAAACTGAAGGATCAATCGATGCAACAGGTAAATTAAACATTTTATATTTGCATTGTCTTGATCCAGAGGCTAACCCATCATGAAAGCATTTTTACTCTCTAGGGAGTAAAAATCAGTTTTCTCAACAGTTGTAAATTTCGATTGTAAACGATTGTATGTGTCTATTGTTTAATCGATTGTAGTTATTTGTTGCCTTATTGTAAATAGTTTGGCATATTGCTAGTATAATGTACACTAACACAATCGTAATAGACAAAACGATTGAATCACTTACTAATCACTTACTCACGATGTTAGAGCATGCTATACTGGCCCAATATTGTAGTGAGTGCGACTGAGACAGATGTACTATTTTCAAACTATGGAAGGTTGAATGAACCATTTAGTTATGAATATGGAACTATAATTCCATTTAAGAGTAACCTAGGGTTTCTTTCAAATTTTGTTTTTTATGGTTAAATAATTGATTTAATCATGACTAGAACAAACACAGTGGGCGGTAGAGTGATGGTTTGGCGCTATTTGGGGAAACACCACCGTAGCAGGGAAAAAGTTTTGCTCATTTTTTTAGGCTATCATAGAACTAGTGTACGTTGTGCTTCATTTATGGTTTTGCAGTATTTGTTGGTGCATCATTTTTTTCTCTGCATTTGGCCGTACTGAGGGCCTGTTAGTTATTGTTTAGCTGCTATCTGTTGGTTGCTTGTACAATGCTCACAACCACTGGGGCACATTACTTGATATACTGGGAATCTACCATCAGATGAAACAAAATTTAACTAATTTTGCACACCCATCCACTAGAGCATTGACTGTTCCTTCTACTAGCAGTTAGGCTCGGGGGAGCGAGCTGGCGTAGTGGTTAGAGCGCGGGACTTCAGTCTCTGAGGTCCCGGGTTCGATCCCCGCCAAGTCACCAATGGATTTTATCCATGATGATGAGGTGATTTTTTAAGTGATAAAGCCGCAACCCCTAGGTCTAGCCTAAAGTAATGTGAAAAACAATCCCAGGCTCGTGCCTAGCGTCCTAGGACAAAAAAAAAAAAAAAAAAAAAAAAAAAACTAGCAGTTAGGCTACTTAGTCTGTGACAACAGAGATGTTAACTTGTTGGTATTGTATGTGTAGATTGTAACGGCCAGCTATACGGATCTCCAAGACTACACTTATTACTTTGTCCCTGCTCCATGGCTTTCAGTTAAACTGCTCAGGCTTCTGCAGAATTATACTCCTCCAGGTAATCTATAAAGGCCTACTGCTTTTAATTATATTTTAAGCTTATTCCTTCAGTGGAGTTTTACCTTACGATTGATATTGGTTATTCTTTAGCCCTTCAGGCATAAGTTTACAATAACACATTGTACCATAATATCATTGATTGTTAGATATTCTACTTAGGAAGAATTTTATTCAATGTCCATTACATTAACAAAAGGTTATTAGTTTCTCACCCATCGATGTTTATGAAATTGTAAATTGTTCAGATGATCCTGGTGTGAGAGGGCGCCTAAATGAATGTCTAGAAACAATATTAAACAAGGCTCAAGAGCCACCAAAGTCAAAGAAAGTACAACATTCCAATGCTAAGAACGCAGTTCTGTTTGAGGCCATCAGTCTTATCATTCACAATGATAGGTAAGTCCCAATGATATACATTGCAAGTATTACCAATAAAGTCGTAAACATACTTTTATTTATTTCATACATGAATTGTTTCAACAATGGTAACCAAACAATAAACATTTACACATTTAACGTCAAGACATTTTGCAGCACTGTTAAAAAGCTAATGAAGTGGAAACAAGATGTTTCCAATCATTGCTTTTTTTCCGTCAAATTTTATATCAGCTCTAGACAAGTTAGCAGTATATACAAGTGTTTAGCTTTAACAATCTAATTTTCTCCCTGAAGCTCAGGATGGTTATAGATGCTTAAATATTAAAAGTTAACTGCAGCACAATATACCTAAACAAATTGATTCTGGATTCAGTTCTGTCTCTTGAATACACTTATGATGCTTCACTTTATATTACTACTAGCTGAGTACCCGTCCTTCGTACGGGGTTGGTATACAATGAATGCTTATTGTAGTTAAATACTCGTGCTTGCCATTTGCAATGAGAGAGGAATTGTTTTGAGAAAATTTGGTTTACTATAATCTACGGTATACTGTAGTATATAGAACATGTAACATAGCCATAATGTTCTACCACTTCACCTAAACAATAGAAAGAAGTAAAGTTCTCACACTCAGGTTTTTGTTGCTGCTTGGTTCAAATTAGCTGTTGTCATAAATGTATAAAGAACTAATGGTGCTGCACCCTGTTGGTAAACCGTATAACCTTTTAATGCCATTGAATATCATAGAAACAAATTGTGTAGTTGAAACAGCTGGCAAAATTATTTAATTCCTTTTAAATATGAATACTCATAAGGTTAACATAGGAAACTTTAGAGCCGCTAGGGCGGAGTCCGAAAGTAATTTTGAGATAAGAATATGCCTTTATGTAAATCGGGAATGTTAGCTATCATTATGCCAAATTTCAGCCCAATCCGTCCTGTAGTTATTGCGTGATTGAGCAACACACAAACTAACAAACTTTCAAATTTATAATATTAGTAAGATAAGATAAATAGCTTTACACTGGAAGACCAGAAAACATTACTTTGTATGTTTGCAGTGAGCCCAATCTGCTTGTGAGGGCATGTAACCAGTTGGGCCAGTTCTTGTCCAACAGAGAGACTAACCTTCGCTATTTAGCCTTGGAGTCAATGTGTTTATTGGCCAACTCGGAATTCTCTCATGATGCTGTCAAAAAACATCAGGAAGTAGTCATCCTCTCCATGAAGGTACGTCAGTGGGGTTATCATATTTCAGATCTGTAGGCTGTATTTTTTATGGTACTGAACAAATATCTTTATAACAGAGAGTTTTACACAGTCAACTGGAACTGGGAAGATGGGATTTGTAAGTAATAAATAAATATATAACCAAAGTAACTTTCAATGACGGTGAAAACATCAGTGAATTTTATATGAGGCCAAAGTATATTTGCAGTAATCGCCAATAGCCTGTTGGCTGATAGTCCTTTATTAACGAAGGTCTGTTAATTTTATTCCAAAGTCGTCGTGTGTTTTAAGATTATAAAAAAAGAAATTATCACTATGTTTTAGTGATAGCTGTAGAGATGACAGGGTGTATGGAGTTGGCCTTACTCCTAGGACTTGGCTAACAATTCCTAATGTCCATTTTTGTTTAGATGGAGAAGGACGTGTCAGTGAGACAACAGGCTGTGGACTTGCTGTATGCCATGTGTGACAAGAGTAATGCCGAAGAGATAGTACAAGAGATGCTCAACTACTTGGAGACAGCCGACTACTCCATCAGAGAGGAAATGGTGAGTGACAGAGGCCAGAATGTCATGTCCAGGCTGTTATAACCATTTATCCTGGTGGCTACGAATAAAATGGGAAAGGGAAAGGAACTATTATGGTTAGGCAAAGTCAGATTTGCCAATCCCAAATATCAGCCGTGTTTTAGTAATTTTGATTATGGGGAGCGAGCTGGTCTAGTGGGAGAGCGGTGGCTTCAGTGCCCGAGGTCCTGGGTTCAAATCCCACCAATCACCAATGGATTTTATCCATGTGATAATGCTGCAAACCTCTAGGAAAAGCCTTAGCTAATGTGTAAAACAGTTCCGGGGTAGAACTAGCGTCTTAGGATGTGAAGGTGGGACATAAAAAATTAGGTTAACAATTAAAATGACCGCCATTTTGAATCCAAAAAAATATTTTTATTGATTTTTTTAAGTTATTTATTTTTTCTTTTTTTGTACATACCGAATTCCACAAAGATATTCTATGGTTGTAATATATTAATTTTAACCACAAAAAACAAAATGGTTTGCATCCTGTTAACTAGACCTTTTTGGAAAAATTATATTCTTGATTTTTTTACCAACATACCTTTTTCCACTAGAGACCCTGTAGAATATAAACAGTTTTTGTAATGTGATGTGTTGATTGACAGGTACTGAAGGTGGCCATCCTAGCAGAGAAGTATGCGACAGACTACACCTGGTATGTGGATGTCATACTCAACCTGATCCGGATAGCTGGAGATTATGTGTCGGAGGAAGTGTGGTACCGAGTTATACAGATAGTCATCAACAGAGACGATGTTCAGGGCTACGCTGCTAAAACTGTCTTTGAGGTACCGTGTATCACCAGTTTGTATCAACAAACACAGACGAGACTCTGTGATGGGAGACTGATATCAATAGTATTTGTGACATTAGGGAGTGGCTACTAATTCAAAATAATGGTTAACACACGAGTCAAACTAAACCTCAAATGTGTTACAATTTACACCAACCATTGACAATCTTGGAATTTAGAGATTCTATTGTCAAATACAAGGGTAGTTTTTTAAGGTAGGGTCGTTTGATAAGATTGCCGTCACGAATTCCTTCTTCTGCATCCATCCCAAAGTTTCCTGTGGGTGTTTAAAGTCTTGCCTTTTCTAACGTACCGATTATTTTCCGCTGGCTGACTCTAAAAACTTGATATCTTTTTCCAAATGTTTAAAAACCTTTAGACAATAATATTTTATGATTTATAGAAATGTGCAAATACTAAAATTAGTTTCACTCTTAGTTCAATAGTTCAATCCATGGGGAGAGTCACATTTAATAAAAAAGGCTCAATATCGATGAAAGTCTGCTGTTAAATCAATCCACAAAAAATCCTTAAAAACCTGGCCTAGAACCATCTTTGCCAAAAAATATATTGGTAAAGTGACAGCAACACATTTTTCTTTTACTGAGCCCTGTAAATATTTTAGTAATAAATGCACAGTTTCAGCATATTTTCTAGGTCTGAAGCAAATTAAAGTAAGGGTGTTTGATTATTTAGCATTACACGTTTATTTCCGAGATAATATATTGAAAAGAGAAATTTTTTTTCAGGCATTACAAGCTCCAGCATGTCATGAAAACATGGTTAAAGTTGGAGGTTATATTTTAGGCGAATTTGGTAATTTGATAGCAGGTGATCAACGGAGCGCACCTATTGTACAGTTTCAACTTCTACATTCCAAGGTTAGTGTTTGAACTTTTCCAGGGTAGTGTGTGACATGTCACATAACGACATAACTAACGAAAATAGTTTTGTAGTTTGGTCTGTCTTGATTGTATACATGGGGGAAGGTCATTATATCAAAGACTATTAACCAGGGTTCCATAATTAGTCCACTGTCAAATGTACACCCGTGTGCTCCTTGATGAGGCAGGTGTGGGAGTATTCTTAATCTCTTCGTTTGACCTTGGAGAAATACAATTTCGATGGTGGCAATCTTGAAAATGATGCGTTTGAACGCTGTGGGTAAAAACAAAATGGCCGCCATTTAAAATGTTTAAAGTCAAATTCCATGAAAACCAGCTAATAAAACAAAATTTTGCAACACATTATTTAAAGTCCTTTTTATTACAAATCGAATGACACTTTATTTGCGAAAATCGGATAATAAATGAAAAAGTTATGTAACTTTTATTATTAATAGTAATTATCAAAATGGCAGTCATTTTGAAATGACAAAGTTAAATTCCATAGAAACTAGTGACAAAAACATAATAAAAGTTACATAACTTTTTTATTTATTATCCGATTTTCACAAATAAAGTGTCGTTCGATTTGTAATAAAAAGGACTTTACATATTGTGTTTCAAAGTTTTGTTTTTAATTCTGGTTTTCATGGAATTTGACTATAAAGAATTTTAATGGCCGCCATTTTGAAATTGGATGAGCCTGATCAAAGATTTTTTCGGAGCATGTTTATAGTTGTAGACTTAAAGTTTATACCAAGTTTCATAAAAATATCTCTAAGGGCTTTTGAGTTATGAATTATTTTCAAAAAATACAAAATGGCGGAATTCGGCTTAACTAAGTCGAAATCGAAACAATGTTATACTACATTTTCGACTTATTTTTGCACATAGAATCTGAATCTGCATAGCCCATCACGCTTTACTGAAACACCCTTTATTACTTTTTGAAATACTTAACTGTCCTGGGACATTACATCCACCCTGATTAATTTTATTGATGAAAAATGTAAAATTATGTTTTATGAAAGAATGGTTGATCCTACATAAAAACTGTAATAACCTTTTTTGTGCAGATTTAAAATAGCTACATTTTGGTATCAACAATTGTTTCATAACTCTAACGGTTACTGATATAAGTAAGAAAACAAGTTTGTGATGGCGGCCATTTTGTTTTTTACCCACAGCGTTCAAAAACCCACCATTTTCAAGAGTGCCACCATCGAAATTGTATTTCTCCAAGGTCACACGAAGAGATTAAGACTACTCCCACACCTGCCTCATTAAGGAGCACACGGGAGCCTGTATATGTACATTTGACAGGGGACTAAATGTCCAAAAAGCAAATATTAAAAAAACTTTCAAAATATTTAAAAACTGAATTTAATTGTTTAATAATGTTTAAGACCATCACCTAGTCCCATAATAACAAGAACCAACGTTTTAGAAAAGTATTATAACATCTGATAAATCTGTACACGTCTTGAAATAACCTTGTGATACTTAGAACAGAGATCTAATGCATCAGTGGTGCCTGTTCTTTAGACATCATAGAACTTCGACATCATGAAAAACTCTTGTACATTACAGTCTTAAATATTATGAAATAAAACCCTATGCATGTTTTATGTCAATTATAATAATTCTACTTGCTCATAAAACTGACCCTCTGACAACTGCATTTTAGTAGACTGAGTTTTTATTTTAGCCTTCATAAATTTTCTTGTTAAATAGACCTTAATTAATTAATTGTTGACTTTAATTAATTGTTTGGAAAATATAAGAACCATGTTACAGTAATAGTAGATTATAGTTGAACACCTGATTGTGAGGTTATTAGACAGCAGATGTTGTTTACAGTACCACCTGTGTTCGCCGATGACACGGGCGTTGCTGCTTTCCACCTACATCAAGTTTGTCAACCTCTTCCCCGAGGTCAAGTCTGTAGTGCAAGACGTGTTCAAGCAGCACAGTAACCTGCGCAGTGCCGACGCAGAACTGCAACAACGGGCGTCAGAATACCTACAGCTCAGCATCATCGCATCCACAGATGTGCTGGTAACTGAGCCTTACTTTACTGCTGGGGCTTCACAAACCTCAATTGATTTTTTGCCTCGTAGATTGACCTGCTGCATTCTTCTCTATCCTCTGCCATCCAGATTTCTCCTCCAATATCAGGAATTATAAACAGCTTTAGAATTCCAAATAAATTTTTAGTTGTTAGCACTAGGGGTGTGCGATTGAAATTTCGATTTGATTCGATTCGATGCATCGAATCGTGATTCAATTCAGCATGCATCGAAATCACGATGCATCGATTTGGCCTCGATGCATCGAAAAAGACCGATGCATCGGTTAGCTCCCGATGCAACGATTACGTCCCGATGCATATTTAAAACTAATTCAGGACTCCAAAATGAGTTTTAGATAGGGAAGTGTCAATTATCGCTACCACCGATACTCGGACATTGCCGATACTAGGAATATCGGTATCAAGAATCGATTGCCAAACATCGATTTCGCCCGATTCCGCCGATACCGACAGCCGACAGGGATGGATAGATATTTTATTTTAACATTTATTTATTTGATATCTATTAGTTTGTAATCACGCTAACAACTTTAGTAACCAACTTAGCACACTATTTAGTTCAAAACAGCTAAAGTTTATTTTCAGCTGTTCTCTCTGCAGGCAGATGATATTGCACAACACAATACAATCTACATTTCAAGATGTCAGACAGTCAGAATTCAGTCTCAGACAACCGGCGCGCGAGTGTCCTCAACACGAAATTATACTAAAAAATGTCTGTATCAATAAGTCAGATCTTTAAATGTATTATTTTTATTTTTAGAACAAAATAAATAACCTAAACTTGTCTAAATGTTCAGTTTCATCCCTGCATTACGCATCATTAGAAAAATTCGATTCAATTACAACATCGAAGTCAGAGGGTTAGGCTTGCACTTGCCTATTGCAACAAAAAGTAGATCCATATTATATCTGTACTATCTACCTAGTTTAAGAGTTTAAGTGAAGTTTTAAGTGCTACTATAACATAAGTTTTGATTGAAAAACACCATACGCATAGTCCATGTCGATTTTGTAATATTGTAATGAATGGTAAATGTTGACCATCTAAGATAAATCAAAGTATGTAACAAGAGTTCTCATTGGTCGAGAGGCCACGCTGCACTGTCATGTCAGCCAATCGACGTTCGTGTTTCAATGGAGCAAGTGACGATTGCTAAGATACATTGATAAATATCAAGAACCGTTATGTAGGACGTGTTTGTTTGTAAAGAGTATAAAATTAGGTTAAAGTTTAAAACGGTGTGATTTTCTTTTGTCTTACAAAGACCTAGATTTGACAATAAGGTTATAAACGAGTATTGTCGCGTCGTTGTTCCTTGTTTGTTTACTTTTTCAGATTCCCTATCAAACGCCCCTATCTGCTATCTCTCTCTCCCCCCCCCCTCTCTCTCTAACGATGTACTGATTAAACAGATTGTGGTTGACGACTTTTCTACTTAAGATTCCCTGTGGTTATTTTAGTTCAATCAATCCCATAACCTTTCTATCGTTTATCAAAATAATTAATTAATCTGTTTTGTATTTTATTTCCTTTAAACCAACCCCTATTTACCATCTGTATTTTATAGAATAAAATGTTTGTTTATAAATTTTGACTGGCCACACAATTTTGTACCTATTTTATTTTGTATAAAGTAACAGATACTTTGATGATTATATATACAGTATATATATATATATATATATCATTAAGTGCTGCGTGCTGTAATGAATGCTTTTTATTATCAAAATAAGTAATCAATTATAAATTTTTGATAATACATGGGTCATTGAATAGGTACCTTAATGTCATGTAGTTTCCTATTTGTAACTTGCAAATAATAATAATTGATAGTTAATTCTGGAAAATGAAAAATAGTGAACGCATTCATAAACCTGTTGTCAAAACAGCAACGCAGGTGTAAGGGTTTATTGTTTCAGAGGCTAGGGAGTTTCAAGGACAAAGTGTTGGGCCTCCCGGCTTAGGGGGGAGGGGTGGTGGTTAGAGGGGGAGGAAACTGGTTTTGGCTATTTATTGATTAGTTCACCGACCCTTCTAGACAACAAAATTGAGTGACAGTGACAGTGTTAAATCACCGTGTTCTGTATTTAATTTGTTGTTTACTTTGTTTGTTATTCTATTAATTTTAGTGTTTTGTTCTATTTCCTCCTGGTCCCTTGCAAATTGTATTATCAATGCTAAATAATTGTGGTCAATTCAAATTATATTTTTGATTATTCAAATCTCCTACACAAAAAGACAAAAGTCAAACCAGGCAAGGAAAAAACCTGCTATTGTAATCCCCGTACCCAGCCATTTGGGAAGTGGTGAAAGTCTAGTCTAAATATAGCTCAAAGGTCTCACCCTTCCCTTCCCCTACTCAATGTTACTATTCCGCTCATTTTAAGGTCATTGCACAACGCCTGCCTCCCGTCTATTGTTTTGCCTTTATAGTGTTTCTATTCTGACTTTTATAAACATAAATTTATTGCTTACGTAGTTCAGTAGTGAAATTTTCTATTGTGAAACAGTAGGCCTACTTTAAAACAAAATCACTACCGGTCATGTCATTCTATTCTGTGTCAAGTCAGTATACCATTGCCATTGCCAGTCAGTCGCCGGCGACTGCTTTGAGTTGACCTATTCTGTCGTGACAGCTATAAAAATAGGTTAGGACAACTACCTTTGCTTATTTCTATATTGTACTTTACTCAAACTCAAAATCTCGAATATTCGTCCATTTTGTGTTAATAGTATAAATAAAATTGGATCCATTAAAACCGGATCCAGCCCAAGATCCGATTTTTTGTGGATACGATCGGGCGTCGGTCTAGCTCAGATCCGGCGGATCCGGTAGTCCGATATCCGGATCCGACCATCACTAATAGACAGTAAACACTGATAATCAACTTTTTTGGTTCGTGCTGATTTAAGAATGAACCAGAAGTATTGAAAGCCAACAAATATAAATGTGAAAACTAAGTAACAATACTACCGTACGTCATAAAATAAACTCTATTTTATTTAATACAGGTCAATAATAATAAACTTAACGATTGCTTTATTGATATATAGGCTTATTCTAATTGTTAGTGAAGGGTGAATTTCCTTAGGCCAACCATAAAATTAGCAGTGTCCATTAATGAGGTTAGGTCAGCAACTATCCTCTTGTTCATAATTTTATTTAGTACATTTTTTACTTTAACTTTTTTTAAGGTAAAGGATCCATTACAGAAACACATGTTGTATTTAATTTTTGAAGAAAATCATGCCGTGCTGCATCGAATCGAATCGCATCGATTCAAATCGAAATTCTTTGAATCGCATCGATGCATCGAATCGAAAAAAATATGCTGCATCGCACACCCCTAGTTAGCACACTAAGTTAACTGAACAATTATGACATTTTCAATAAAGATGGCCTTAGACCAGGATTTTAAAGGATTTTGTGGAGTCCAGTTATACAGCAAGCTTACCATACTGACAAAAATAAATGGAAATGCACAAAAACACTGATAAACACCAAATCTTTTTAATTGAGAAACCTCACTAACTCAACACCCGGTAACTTGACAGTCGACAGCTGACAGGATGCATGCAAAACAAGTATTTTTTCAAAATGTTTAGTTTTGTTTTAATTGTTGAATATTCAACGTTTCTTTGAAGATTAATCAATATGTAAAAATACTCGTGCAAGTAATAAATTTATTTGTAAAAATTAGTCTGTTATTTTATTAATTTATTATAACCAATTTAAAATTTCAATGTTCTGGATAACTCGACAACTCGTAACTCGGATAACTCGTAAGGTAAGCCTGCTTTTTAATCTCTTTACCAGAAATCCTTAAAATCAGACCACAATTAATTTGATGGACACAACATTTTGCCCCGTTATGTAAATTGTTTTCAAATGCATTGCAATAGCTCTAGAACTGCAATACAGTAGAGTCCCGCAAACCCGGCGTAATGTGGACTGGAAGGGTGCCGAGTTTGCGAAATGCCGGGTTATCGGGAACTAGGGTTAAAAATAAGAACAATACAATTTTTAAGCGTTTTAACCGCCGTTTTTTATTTTTACAGTATTTATATTACAGTATTAAGTCATAAGAAATAAAAAAATGTATTCTGTAGGCCTATACATATTGTACAGTATGTATTACGTACTTTTATAGAAAAGATAAATAAGTACAGTACACACCAGGAAAACTCAGTACAGTTCAAATAAAAACCTAATTCATTTTTTGCAGAAAAAGTTTTTAATGCTCATTTGTTTCTCACACTGAACACTGCGCTTTGCTGCTACATCTCGAAGGCGGCGAAGACACATTATGTCCATTGGCGAAGCTCCTTGCTCCTCAAAATATCGTAAGGCCCCATCAACAGCTTTTAATCCTTCACTGTGGCTCATTTTTTGTACTTCTTGAGTGTCACATGCGTCTTTGTCTTCTGATTCGCTTTCTTCAGGCTGTTCCTTTTCTTTCACCATGGTGACAATTTCGTCATCGGAAAGAGCATTCCCCGTGGCATCTTGGTCCATTCATTCCTGTACATCCCCATCACTGAAGTTTTCACAGCCGGGAATCTTCTTTAATAGATCAACTAAAGCAGAATCTTCCTCCTTTAGGACATCAGTAAACGAATTTCCTGAATGATCCAGAAGTTTTTTCCAGGATCGCACTAATGTTATTTGCTCTAACTCATCCCAAGACTCAGCAACCCATCCAATAACATCCAGCAAATCAACCTTTTTAAGCCTATTCACTAGTTCTTGGCCTTCGTCAATCGCCGTCACTAGAGTTGATAGAAGTTTGCACAAATATCTTTTTTTCATTGCGGCTAGAACACCTTGGTCCATAGGCTGACATAGTGCAGTCACATTTGGCGATAAAAACATCGTTTTTATGTTGCCATCAACTAACTCTTCAGCATCAGGGTGTGAGGAAGCGTTGTCCAGATTCAAAATGGCTTTCCTTTCAAGATTCT